GATTTCTGGACATGCACTACGTGAAACAGTGGGCTCATTAGAACATTCCCAGCAGCCCAGTGTTTATAAACAGCCCTAGTTCATCTAACTGATGGATGAGCGCTCACTATCTCTCCGTTCTTCCTGCCGCTCCGAGAACGTACTTGCTCAGCCCGGGTTTCACAACCACCCCGACTAACTCCCACGTGTCACTACACAATTCAGCTGGACACACGCAACTCAAGATCCCCTTATCTGTCTCTCTCTCACACACACACACACAGAGAGAGAGAGACCCCAAACTCTCTTCTGCTCCATGGGTGGGCCCTTTATGTCCTTAACTGGGGGCAGAGGGTACATTCTGCGGGTTGCAGATCCATCCCTAATTCTCTTAACTCACAGGATACTAATGACAGCGACTGTTGTAATGAGGAAAAACAACATAGATGTGTTTTTCCAGGAACAACAGGGCTGCTGATATGAACCATGGGGTAGAATGAGGAGCCAAGGTTCTTCCTGAAATGAAAAAAAAAAATGTGTCAGAGATTCAAGTTTTGAAAACTAGTGAGTTGAGTACATAGGCAGTATTTTAAGGAAGCATCAGCACAAAAGCCACGCAAAGGTTGTTCCGAAAGGTAGGCAGCGCAATAACACAGCCTTTCGAAAAAACCTTCTTTTAGCCAAATTCAAAGGCAGCATCTCACATATCCAGGGTTGCCAGGTCTGCGTAACAAAACTAGCCTAAATGCCACTCAAAAATAGCTCAATGAGCATATCTCAAATATCAAAACTCCAAATATGCCACTCCCATACCTAAAATACATATTTTACAGTCACTGATATGCAAACTGAAAACCACTGTAAAGTAATGATCATAAACAGCTCAAATTAAGGATCCCAGTGGCCCTTCTTCACAAAACTTAAAGGGGTCATATAATGGTAGATGCACTTTTACAAGTTGATTGTACTGAAATGTGTGTTGGCAGTGCCTGTACACAACCATCATAAAATGATAAAAATCCATCCAGTGTTTTTGTGTTAATCTCCTTATATGTTTTCCCCTGCCTCAAATTGAGCCATTCGATTTTGTGACGTCACACGCTCGGAAGCCCCTCCCACGATTGTTGATTGACAGCATCGTTTCAACACAGACCCGCCCTCGCTCGTGAGGGAGCTGTCAATCATAGTCCGCGCGGACCAGCGCGGTCATTGTTGATATGCTGGAGCACTGTCTATGAGCAGAATGGCGTCTAAGCGATTGTGGTGTTCTGTTCTTGGGTGTAATAACGAACACAGCAGTCATTTTAATGTTCCTAAATCCGAACCGCTGAAGACACAGTGGCTGAGTTTTGTTTTCGAAGGGAGTATTCCCCACGAGCAACGTCAATGCTTTCATGTTTGCGCGAATCATTTCTGACCAGACTGCTTTATAAACGAGGATCAGTATAAAGCTGGTTTTGCTAAGAAGCTGCTCATGAAAAAAGGATCGGTACCAGCTATTCCTGTTCCTGCTGAACCTCTAGAACAACTGAAGTGAGTGTAACGTTTTATTAAACTTTATATTTATATTTATATTAATCTTTGCAAATAGCTAGCTGCACGCTTCACAATGAATGCGTCTAAGGTTTACACTCAGGGTACATTACGGCATGTTTTCTATGAATGATGTTCTCAATATAATTCATAATCCCACGTGTATACTGAACAACGCGTTATGGTAACGGTGTACTCACAGAACAGAGAGGGAGTGAGCAAAGCTCATTATCATTTAAAGTCATATGCTCTGAAACGGCGTGCTGAAAACAGAGCTGTTTTTGACCAGGTAAAATAAGTGTTTTCTTACAATACTAATGAGAATTTTTAATTAAAGTATATTACAAACTTTTAATTTAGACCCTAAAGAATTATACTAGCTTGTACAAAAATGGCATTATATGACCCCTTTAACTTCTAGCACAGTTTTATCTTTGGTAGAATATAATTTCAGTCAAATTTATGCAATATGGCAAACCTTTAACCTGCAGGGGAAAAAATAAACCAGCGGCAAGTGTAAAAGTTTTTAAAAAACTTTTTTGCTGCCGTGTAATTTTCTATACAGTATAGTATAGTGAGGAGACATGCGTCAGGAGATATAACACAAAATTGTTCAATATGGAGATCAGTGTTGTTATTGTTAACTAAAACTATTAATAATAATTTTCATTAAATTTAAATAATGCTGAAAAAAAATATTAGATGGAAAAAAATGTGCTTTAGCAACTAACTGAAATAAAATAAGTTTGTTCAAGTACTAAAATGACTCAAACTGAATAAAAAATAAAAAATGACTAAAACTAAAATTACAATGAAATCTGAAAATGTAGAAATAGAAGCAAATTCAAAGTACTAATAATTAGGCCTACTATAGTCAGAGTTTCCGCTAGAAAAAAATGGTGCCGGTCAAAGTGACCGGCAGAGGTTTCGTTTAACGGACATTTTGATGATATGCCGGTCAAATATCGCCTCTTAATTAGTCAAGTTGAGGAAAGGAGGCAGGCCATATAACTTAAAAAATGACATAATAAGGCCTTATAGAATGCAACATGTTATTATTAGCCTAACTTTCAAATAGACGGAAAAAAACATGAAAGTCCGATTGGCGTCAATCAACACCAATTGTTTTTTTACTATGGTTTCACACACATTCACTTTTTGAAACATTGAGGCACGGATGTACCTAATACAAATAAATAAAACATATCCAGTTAACTAGCAGATCATTCATTTAGTTCGCTATTAAATAAGAGATCTAGCGCTAAAATCAGTTGTTTTTTAAATCAAGCTGAGCGCTCGTGTCCGCTGCTATCAGTTGCATGGACGACGCGCTGCGCAAGTTGCGCAATCTTCACTCGGACGCGCGTTTCAATCTATCGCCGTTGCGGAGGCTCTACACAGGCGAAGCACTGCTACTTGGGCGCAGAGATATCACGCAACACTTGAAATAAAGCTTGCCACAAAGAACCGGCGAAAGTAATGATTATGCATGAAACATTTAAATTGTTGATAAATTGATAAAGTTGACGATGCAGACTCGCCATCTTCGCAGTAGTGAACGCGCCTAGAGAGAGAAATGCACACTTCATATGAATAAATTCTTATTTATTAATCCAGGCAAATTTGTTGATGAAACATTGATTAAAATGAAGATACAATTTATACAAAACGAAATAAACTTTAAAGAAAGGCTTTCTACAAAACAAAACTAAATAAGTGGTCAAAATCATGTCTGACCAATTCCAAATGTTTTCCGATATATAGGCCTATTGGTCATCTTATGATCCTATCTTATGATCCTATCTTACTCATCTCATGCGGTTCCCTTTTCATATAGCCTAATCAACATAGATGAAATAAAAAAATAATAACATTATATTATTTATAAATATGAAACGTAAATTTAAGTTTTTTAACTTATAATAAGCGTCACACCGCTCCGCTTTGCTCACATGCTCTGGTGTGTAGTCTAATGCATGTGTGCGTGCATGTGGTGGAGGGGTGCGATTTTCGAATAATAATCAACCCAGCGATCTTTGAATATTATTTTTGCTTGAAAATTTCGTTTTGTATAAATTGTATATTAATTTTAATCAATGTTTCATCAACAAATTTGCCTGGATTAATAAATAAGAAGCAATAGTGGACAATATAGGCTAATCCGGACACGGAGGCGTCGGCGCGTGCACACTTCTCTCTAGGCGCGTTCACTACTGCGAAGATGGCGAGTCTGCATCGTCAACTTTATCAATTTATCAACTTTATCAATAATATCAATGGGCCTGGCCATATTTGAAACGTCTCACTCAATCGTTCGTTGTTTAGGTCTATATTACAGCCGTTCTAGGCGTGCGCTTTATTTGAAATGCAGCATGCGATGTTGTTTAATAACTTTCAAACGGTAGAGCCTGTTCCTTTATAACATAGCCAAAGGTCGGTGTATTTTTGCTTTATACATTTTAGGCTTATTCTCAAATTCATATTGTGTTAGGGGGGCGGGATTATTAGGCCTACGCCATTTTTATCGGACAATTTGACCGGAGAGATTTAATTTTGTCGGACATTTCATTTTTTTCCCGGCCAATGTCCGGCAATTACCGGACAACGGAAACCCTGCTATAGTAGAATATGAATAATACTGTTTCTGATCAGATCCTTTATTTACAACAAACAGCGTTAAAACACCTGTACTGAGCACGTATACATCACACGTTTTAATAACTTTAAATCTACCCTACAATAGATAATAATTTATTCGGAAATAACCATTACCATTGAGATTCATCAAGATTCTCCAGGGGATGAACTTGACCTTCGGCCTCCAAGTGGAAATGCTTCTTCTACAGTGGGTACCAGTGATGCGGCAATCACATTCAGCTCTGCCTGCATTTCATTATTGCTTTATTATACTGTGCAAACTCTATATTCTATCCCCTAATCCTAAACCTATCCACCACAAAATCTTTATGCTTTTTCAAAAACATTTAGTATGATTTAAGCTATTTTCAACATAGGGACCAAAAAACATCCCCACAAGGATTTTGGATATTGCCATTTTTGTGGGGACATTTTGTCCCCATAATATAAGGCTTACCTGAACACCACACACACACACCAAATAAAGAAACAGTTCAAGCTAGTTTGGCCTCAGAAAAACATAAATCTTTAGTGAATGTTGTGCTGTGATACAGAACAACAACAAAAAAAATAGACAAAGTCAAATAATACTTAAAAATAAGAACTTCAATAAAAGAAGTTACCAAGTGACTGAAAGGTGGGTGCAGTGCAAAATCAAATCAAAGGCAACAATATAAAGATTAAAAACATCTTTACAATAGCAAAACATTTCTATAATAGATTACATGAAAACAGCCTATCATTACAGTACAGATTGACGGCAGCTCATTTCCACAGTTCTTACTCAGTCGACTGCTAGAGCTGCCAAATGCAACGCTTATTCTACTGTACAAAAGAAAATGTACATGCATTGGTAAAAAAAAAAAAAAAAAACGTCTGTCAGCTGTGGCTGTGGAAATGTGATGCTCAAAAAACATCTCCAGCATTTCATCCAATCACAGCAGGAATGGGAATAGTTCAGTTTTGGAGGAGTGCAGCAGTCTCTTCATCTCCATCTGCAGAAACCCGAGGAGATTTTCTGTACATCACGAACTGCACGGATATCTGAAAAAAAGCGTTAAGGCAAAAGCTGAACATTTTTCAAACTATATTGAATTCATTTAAAGGGGTCATCGGATGCCCATTTTCCACAAGGTGGTATGATTCTTTAGGGTCTTCGTGTAAAGTTTGTAACATACTTTGGTTAAAATTCCTCAATGGTTGTGTAAAACAACACCCTTTTTACCTCCTCAAAAACAGCTCTGTTCACAGCGACCCGTTTCAGTGCATGTCTCTTTAAATGATAATGAGCAACTGCTCAGCCCAGCCCTCTCTTCCGTGGGGCGTGTGGACACAAGACACGTAAAGTGCTGCAATGGCAACCTGTCTTGCTGGACAGTATACAAATGGCTGAGGGTGGAAATATGCTAATACGACTGACAATCCGTCGGTGTTCGTGGGCGGAGCATGAGCAATATGACATCATATTGCTCAGAAAATCCAAAAGGCTTGATTATTGAGAGTGTTTAGGCTTTTTGAGGATAAAAAAAAAAAGGAGTGAATAGATTTTTTTCATTGAATGGTGGTTGTGTCCACACACTGCAAAGACACATTTATATGCAAACACCATCTAAAAGTGAATTTTGCATCCGATGAGCCCTTTAAACAACAAGGCTCAGTGCTCGGGGGATTCTGACAAATGTGCTTCACATAAAAGGAAGTCACGTGACTTCAGAAATGTAGTTGGACGCTTTGGCAACAATCACAGTTTTGTCAATATACGTGACCTCAAGTGATCCAGAATGTCGTCAAACACACGATGACTCAGACATTTATGCAATGCTGTCTATAATATCAGTCACGTGACCTTTGACTGCATGTTCTCAAAACAAATTTTTGTCAATTAATCAATTTATGCATTTTACCCAACACAGTTAAACCTGATGCATTGCATAAAACATTAATCCATCATTCAATTATTAAAATAAAACATTTATATATTAAAATAAGCTATTCAAATATATAAAAAGATACTAAAATAAATCCTGCTTTAAGAGCATTATGATTTTTTTGTATGGAATTTTTCGCGTAACATTTCATGAGCCCGTTTAGTCTTCCATATTCCATTTCACATCTTTTTGTGGCTGTAGGTCCATGAGGACTGTTATCAATGATCCTCTCCCAGCTCAGTGGCTTAAAAGGATACGAGAAGGTCCAGTGAGAGCGTTCCCAGGCTGCCGATGAGCCAGGGGAGGTGGTGCACGAGGTAGCTGGTCTCTCCCTGCCCTGGATCTGGGTTCTTCAGTATCACACTGATGCCATATGTTGTGTTTCCCAGAATTACCAGAGCAAACAGGAAATAAGATACGCCCTCTGTTGACTTCCTTAGATACTGCAAGACAGAAATATATATTTACATTACACTAAGGCTACAGTTCAGACTGCAGGTAAATGTAGCCTAAATCTGATGTGACTCAGATCTGTTTTTCTCATGACAGTGTGAACAGCACAAACCACATGGAATCTGATTTCAATTTCGATTTGGGCCACTTCCATATGTGGTTCTAAATCCAATACAGCTCAGATGTTTTGCAATGCGACCTCAATCTGAACTGTTATATCGGAATTCAAGAGACTTTTACACCACTCTAGAGCAACATACGTCACAATTCTGTCCACAGGAGCCACAAAAGTTATCAAGACCGTTGTGAAAGGTGTCAGTAGAAAGAATTACAGTGACAAATCCAGCAAAACGTGGGCTTGTATCTTAAATGTTTAAATATTCTGCTCTTTTTTCACATTCTTCTCTTTATTTTGTATATTGGCTGTGCATAAATTCGCTGACTTCTGTGGCAGATCACACTATAAGCGTGTAATCATTTACTTTATGTTCTTCGTGTTTACTTCCGTACTGTATGTCAGCGTGCTGTTTGAAGTCTTTTTTATCGTTCTTTTGCGCATGCTGGTCAGTTCAGGACCATGATCTGTTCACACTGGAATCTGATATTGGCCACATTTAAAACCACAATGTGAACAGCTATACAAAAAAAGAAAATCTGATCAGAGCAATAAATCGGATTTGAGCACTAAGGCTCGCAGTGTGAATGTAGCCTAAGAAGCAACATATGTATTTAATTTAAAGATCTGAATGCATATGTAGTATGAAAATGTGTGAAAAATAATTGTAGCTGTATTAAAAGCATACATCAAATTACACTTTTGATGCCAGTGTTTTTTTAAGTTGCCAGCCAGCAAGAGCATTGTTGTATCATATTCACAAAACTTTCATGGTCCGCAGAATTTTCTGTTGTATGAATATGTAAATAATAAGTTATTCTATATTTAATTTTAACCATGGCTTATCTTGCCAAGAAAAATAGAAGGAGCAAGTGGTGGTTTGTTGTCGTCTCACTAATTGCGTCATCAAGTTCTGCGCTCCTATTGGTTTTAGATTTGACGGTTGTCGTAGAAGTCGCACTACAGGACTCGGCCTCAAATTAATTTTAATTTTTAATCACAATGGTCATTAATTGGCTGTTGGTAAACGTCAAATTAGCGATAAAAGTCTTCCGATTTTGGCCTAGGATCAGAGGAATCTTAGGATTCGCAAAATTTGTCTCAGCCAAAATCATACAGTGTGCACCCTGATTTAATAGTCCTAAAAAAAAAGAGACTATATATTTAGCTAAAACAGAAGAAAACTGTAAATCAATTAAAATGTCTTTCTTTTAATTATGAGTTAAAATATGACCTGGACATGTTCTTGATAGATTATGTGAGAATCAACATCAATGTAAAACTTACATTAGTGTACATCTGTGGCAATCTGGAGCATAAATAGAGTACTGAAGATAAAGAGCCGATGATAAAGCCTATAATCTCCTTTGTTGAGAAGGGCTGAAAAACATGAAAACATTAAGTCTCAAACCAATGCTGAAACCCCATAAATGAATTAAGCGCATCTCAACTCAATGATAAAAGCAACTCTAGGTACCTTTACCGAACCGCTGTCCTCCTCCACGGCCAGCAGTGCCCGACCCTTGAACCCTGCGGGAATCTGATCCTCTAGGGCAGAGCGAGGGAGGCTAAGGAGGGAAGATGTCATTCCCAGAAGACACAGCATACTGACTGCATTTAGCAATGCACTGTTACTGTCTACAGCGGAGAAAGACAGTTCCACGAATCAGTGTTTCAGGCATCAGCACAATCTTATAACAGACTGTGAAGGCCGAGGGTCAGGGAGGAATATACAGTAGAGACGTTCTCGAGCAGTGTTATTGTTAACTAAAGCTGTTAAAAGTCAGTTCTGGGAATTGAAATCAAATCAAGTATAAATATTACATTAAAAATGAATGAAAGCATGTCCTTGAAAGCAACCAATTACATATAGCCTACTCACAACACATTCAACCAACATTACAAGTCTCAAGTAAGGCATGATTTTCAACTCACCCCTAGATGCTTTATTCTTTATTTTATAATACATGTACATGAACAGCATTAGCATGTCTGCCAGGACGTAGTACACTGCAGTGTATTTCTAAAGGAGAAACAAGGGGTTGAGGAATATAAAATAATAATATAACCAGGCTTTACTTTAAACTACAGCTAAATCAAGATCAATCATTAATCAATTAGGGTGATTTTCTTGAACCTATATATTAATTAATTTAGCTGAGATTTTATCCAAAGCAACAAATGAAAAATGTGACAATTGTTCCTCACCTGTAGTGGAAGTTGATCGGCTAAGAACGATCCAATAAGATTACACGAGTCGCCTGCCAGCCACAATAACAGAAACCAAATAGACAGAGCGCTGTCCATATTTCCTGTCTTGCAGGAATTGTAGTATTGCCTACAGTAACAGACAGTATGATCTCAATATATATTATCATGTGCAAAATATCACTTTACACTACCGTTCAAAAGTTTGGGGTCTGTAAGAATTTAATGTTTGTTTTTGAAATTAGTCTCTTATGCTCACCAAGACTACATTTATTTGGTACAGAAATGTTGTGAAATATTATTACACAGTTTAAAAACTGTTTTCTGTTTGAATTCAAATGTAATTTATTCCTGTTATGATAAAGCTGAATTTTCACCATCATTACTCCAGTCTTCAGTGTCACATGATCCTTAAAAAAAATCTATCTAATGTCCTGATTTGCTGCTCAAGAAAGATTTCTTATTATTATGAATGTTGTAAACAGTTTTGCTGCTTAATATTTTTGTGGAAACCATGATCTTTTTTTTTTAGGATTCTTTGATGAATAGAAAGTTCAAAAGAACAGCATTTATACTAAATAGAAATTGTCACTTTTGATTAATTCAATAAATCCTTGCTGAATAAAAGTATCAATGTCATTAAAATCTTACTGACACCAACCTTTTAAATAGCAGTGTATGAGTGTTCAAAATTATTGATGTGCCTGAATGAACATTTTATTTCTAATATGGCAAAACTGCTCATACACAGAGCAATCCTCCTCTTATAAGAGTTGGCGTACTTACGGTAGTGAGGACACCATGAAGCAAACTATTGACAGCAGTCCCAGAACTACACTGGCAACGTCCCTGGCATCCTGGGCACATTCCCCAAGTCCATACCAAATCCACTCGATCCCATGTGGGCAGAGAGAGCTGAAGTTTCCATCACCACCGAGCACAAGCCCGTCCGACATCACTTGAAAAACAGCAGTAATGAAACATAACAGAAATAAAAATCCACCTAATTTGCATGTTCTTCTTTTTTAATAAAAATGCCGCCTGGCCTGTTTTGAATCATTCTTATGAAAACGGATTTGTTGATACTGCAAACGTAACAGTGAGTGTAGTGCTGTTAAAACACTTATAGCTGAAGCAGAAGACATTACAAATAAATACAAATACATTTAGCGCATTACCTGTGGTGTAGATCTTCAGCTGCTGAGGTAGAAGTATGTGGACCTTATGCCGCAGTCACCTAGAGAAGAAAACAACAAAACAACGAGGACATCTCTTAGCGCTGTGATTGGATGGTTGAAGCGCGACGTCATGCAGTAAAGCAGCTCCAAAAATGTAGGTTGGACAAAAGACTCGTTTTTGCGAATATTTTCTTTTGAACAGTTTGGTTAAAAGAACGATTCAGCTTTATTTTGCGTCGTGACCAGTGATCTATGTGGTCGGTGAGGTAAATGAGTCACATGTTTCATGAAACACAAACGTTCCGTAGGTGTTAGGCCTTCACACGCGGAAGTGTGATATCACACTTCCGCGTTCGACTGTGATAAAGGCCTATTATGTTCGGAATTGCATTATACAATAATAATTGTTCTAAAAATTAGCAACATCTTGCTTGAAATGTTTTTTTGCGTTTTATAATATATATATAAGTGGTTTATATATGCTTTGATAAAAATGTCATGTAAATATTGGTATCATTTCTACTGCTGATGTATAAAGCCAAGGTAACCGAAGAACCGCTCGAATGATTCAGATTCGTGAATGAATCATTCAGATTGGTTTTGTGAACCGGTTCATTTGACTAATCCGTTCAAAATGTTCAGCAGTTAAAACCTTCAGTGTGCAAGTCTTAACTTGTCATTTTCGCAATCACCGATAAAAGAAAGAAACTAAAGTCTCACTTATGATTTGATGCTAAAAAAAACTCTTATCTAATAAACAATATATATTACTGATGGTTAACATTTCTAACAAATATGTACAGCCAGGTAATTTTCCCACTGAATTTGCTTTGGTCGGGGAGTGTCAAGAAAGAGGCACTACATGGTGATCAACATGTCTCACATTTTCACAAAACGGTGTGAAATTAATTGTTTTTTGTAGCAGTACACTGTTGATTAACTGTGTTGCGACCAGAGCTTCGAGCCACGTGTAAATGAACATTTCTAACTAAAATAAGGTACGTGTCTTTAAAGTAAAAGTATAGGTGTTCTAAAAAAATCATTTTTTAAACTGTTTAAAACATTTTCTTTACCTTGTCAAAGTAACACTAGATCCGTCACCTCCAGACACAGACTCCGCTCATATCAGCTGATCATCACGCCTGACTTCACAATAGCCCATTCAGCAAAACGTGACGCAAAAAAAACGATTTCTTAAGAGTATAAAACCCACAGTAATGGAGTCATGTCTGTTTACACGAGTGTATAGGTCGCCGAATGTATAAAATGAAGAGGTGAACATTTCTAGTTGTCACCATTTTTGCTCCATCGAGTATTTATCATGGTAGGTTCGTTTTTTAAGCCATCATCTGCATAGAAATAACTTAAGTCTTGACTACATTAAGCTGTACATTATTATTGCCCAGGAAACAAGATATAATACACTGACTGAACACAGGTTTTTGCATTTGTGGAAACATGTCTACATGAATTAAGTTTCCATAAATGAAAACTGCTATTTATCAATTATGTACTGATTAAATCAATTGTGATTCAGAGCAAGTGATTAAAAATTGAAAAAGTGACAATGCATAAATATCAAATCATTCTGAAATGTGACAAAGTAAATTTAGTATTTACAGCTTGCCCCAATCTGACACCTAAAAAAAAATACTTTTGGCATGAAACCTTTTAGTTAAAATCTACCTTCATTATATAGTTGAATTGTCTGAATGTATGTCAATGTGATTTTATTGAAATCACTTGGTGAAAATATGATAGTAATTCTAGTTTGAATACATCTCACAAAATGTATTCTAATTTAAAAGGGTTTTATTAACTGCGTTAATTTATTCTAATAAAAAAACTCATTTAAAAGTTTAGAATTCTTCCCTCAACATTTAAGACTGTAACCCTTATAAATGTACGGTGTGTTGTAACACTGGCATTACTGTAGTTTATGTATTATTGGAATAAAAAGCAATGCTTGTTGAAAGTACTTTTGTACTTGGTTTTGCCAGGTGCCACAGACACCCATTTACTATGTTTTATAGCTTTTGAAGGGTCTATGATTAAACTTTAAAACAATACAGAGGTCACCATTTTATTGAAAATAAAGATCAAATGTTCTCCGATTGAGGGGATTTAAACTGTAGGAATAAGAAAATACACATGCAAAGGAAGCAGGTGGACCATATATGATAAACTTTATCATACAATGGGAGGGAGAGATGAGTGTATCATTTATAAAGTATCATTCACAATAGATTTACAAATATAATAATAATAATGTCATAGTTTAAGAAAAAAAAAAAGAATGTTATATACTAAATCAGACCAAAACAAGACTATTTAAATCTGTACAAGTGTCTTCATCGACACTCAACGATTCATTCTTCGTCCTCCGAAGACGATGCAAGTTTGAAAGTTCTCACGCAGTATGTACAATGGATCGTCGGGGTGGGGGAAAACATGAAATAAATGAAGCGCATCAGTTCCAGCATTATCCCACCCTTCAGAGAGCAGAATAAGACTGTGCTTGAGAGGAAGACAGTTTATTTCTTGCAGACGTTTCCTCAGTTTCTTCACTTGATGTGCATCAGCTTCTCAGCATCCACTTTTAAACGTTTGCGTTTTGGTTGTACCACATCATCGTCGGAGTCCTCCGAATCCTCTTTATCAGCCTCGGGTCGTGTCTCCGGCTTCTCCGCGACTACAGGGAACGTCTGGTCGGGAAAAATCTCCAGCAGTTTTTCCTCGAAGCGCTGACTCACAGCTTTGCCCGCCTCTGCCACTTCCGAGTCGGCCTAGGAGAGGGAGGAGAAGGGAAAGAGTGTGGAAATGTGAGGAAAGGGGAGGAGAAAGTGGGTGGAATGAACGGGTGAGGAAGAGGAGGAGGAGGAGAAGAGAATCACAGAAAGGGTTAAAACTCCAGTTTCGGCTGCTTTGGGTGCCAGCACTGCTGAACCCTTCGGTGTGGTGTACAAAACATCTTACCTGAACATTACTCTGTTTCTCCTCATCATAAACCTGGATTATTCGAGACATCTAAAAAGGGCAACGACAGCACACAAAAAAAAAAATACAAAAGAAAGGGGGGAAGAAAGATTTTATACCATACACACAGTGAGGTCACAACCTCATCTGTATTTAAAAATGTCCAAGGAGCACAACTTTTTGGTTTGGTCATAATAAATGCCTTTCGGTTATAAGGCATAAGCAAACAGCCTCTATATATAACCACATGAAAAAAAACTAGAAGGGGGTTTGTCTTAAAATACTCTTTAAAAAAAAAAAAAAAAAAAAACATTTAAAAAAGTGGCAGTTATGCTGAGAGACGTAAACTAAATGCAACATAAATTGGAGGGAAAATTTACAGAAATTTTAAAAAAAGTTAATAATAACGTGCTTCTTTGACATGAATGCCACAGTCATCAAGTCTTGTGAAGACAGTAAAATGTCTCCCTCATTTTGCAGTTTATTTTTAGACAGAAATAAACATTTCAGTAACCTCACTGAATTATCACAATGACAGTGTGAAAGTGCTACAGTTTTTAACATGGGTGTCTTGGAGGATTTGACTATAGATAAAAGTTATTTTTCCCCACAACAAACACCCTATTTATGCACTTCAAGCATTCTGTGGCCACTGTGATGAACCCAAACACTCAAACAGATCAAATCCATCCACTGAAATCACCTAAAGTGGACATGAAGGAATGTACACATCCTTTGGTGAAACAGAAGCCAAACAATCCCTATCAAATGTTTGTGTGTAATAATCACATCTTTCATTTTATCAATGTATTGCCACTAAATTAAAAATTAACAGTGTGACTGAGTTTTGCTTTCAATAACACAAACCTCATCAAGCGGCAACATTCAAAACTCAAAACATCAACTAAGTGCTAAAAATTACATATTAAACTACTTTCTAAGGGATATAAAACTAAATCAAAAAGTTGTATACATAATGTGATTTTAAAAGCGTCAGTGCCATTTAGTTTTATTTTACAGTCACTATCCACTCTGAATGTCAGAAGGCAAGAACGACTGCAAACTGACATTAGCATCATGCATTTGATTGTCATTTTCATTCTTATTGTTCAAAAAAAGTGCTGAACAATAAACAAATGTCTCAAACAAAATGTAATAAACATCCCTTTAACGGAGTGAAAAAGTGTGTTAGCCCTTTGACACACTAGTGCAACATCCAAAAAGAAAAAGAAAAAAACAGCGCCGCTGATTAATGCTCAGCTCGACTGAAACCATTCCTTTAATTGTTAGTACTGGACTGGTGAGCATATGAGGAAGTAAAAGCATGCAACCCATCACGTTCATGCTGTGTTGCTTTAGTGTGTTTCATACTCTCCAAATACTCGTTTCTCGTTACATGCAGCATCCCATCACACCCCCCACACAGGTTAAGGACATTCCCCGTACTCACCTCATTAAATTTGGCACAATTGCTAAAGACCAGGCGCACGTCGGACACAAACTCTGAAGTGCTCTTGTAATGCAGAGGATGTTTTCGCTGTAGTTTCCGCTTTACCAGGGTCAAATCCATTGGATTCTTTATTATTTTATAGTAATTGGGTACCTGGAGAGAAATCAAGGCTTCAGCATTAAAACAATAATGTTGCAGACATGCGGCTCTCTTCCAACACCAAATAATCTACCCATCGACTCGACATTTTTAGGTATGATATGTGCATCCCAATGAAAAAGCACTATTATTAAAGCTAAAATTAAAATTAAAATATAAAAATAAAAGATCTTTCAAAATAGTATCCAATAGATACTATAATAATACATAAATAATAGGAAAGAAGGGAAATAGTTATTAAACAAACATTTCAAGAATATAGACAGAAAAAGGTTCCATCTAATTAAAATTGTCAGTTTTTTGCTGTTTGGATCTTCCCCTAATATCTAGAATTTCTACAGTACCCCTTGTAAGGAAAGTCAGTTTACTCAGCTGGCATCTTAGTAGCACCCTCCAGTCATGCAAGTACAGCTCATATATATTATAAATGGGGAAAGATCGAGTTCTGTTTGTCAATGACTACGTTTACATGCACCTTCATAATGCGATTATAATGAGATTTAGGCAATATTGCAATAAACTTTACTTCATATAAAGTTTAAAAGTCCTGTTCTAATGGTTAGAGAGTCAGTCGGGTTCGAGTCTCAATACCGGCAGGAACTGACTGAGGTC